TTGAACAGCGTTATTAATTTTGCCTCGAGAAAATCCTAAAACATCTACAACTTCGGCAATATTTTGATATTTTTGAAAACATACCCATATGACCCTTCTTTCGCTTGAAGTTGTGCTTTTATTAAAAACATCTTAATTTAGTAAAAAAGAACAATATTGATGTACATTGTGGCGAAAAAATTTTAATTTACCCGTTTCAAACAGAATGACTTAATTATATGAGCACAAGTGTATATCTAAAGAGTTGTTTCAGTGTGCAATATTCACCTGGTCGTATTGATGTGTATATCTTTGAAATATTTTCGAAATTTAAAAAATAATCACCACCACAAATGGTGCGCTTGTAGAGGTGCTGGAACTTTTCTAGATTCCTTAATGAGTTGAACAAATTGAGAAGGCAACTTTATTTGTTTTTTATTTATTTTTCTCTCTATAAGGGAAGGCGATGCATCACATTCCATTTGCGTATGACCACTTATTAAAAACTTCTGTTCAATTGTTATTTCGCTTTCCTTTGAAAAATTCAACAAGGCGTTAGACAGAACAGTATTACAATTTTGGTGAAAGCAACCATCGGAGTAAATAATAATATGTTGGATTTCAGGCGATCGAGCATGGAAATTCCTTAAGTGCTTAATAATACATGTAGCAAAAACGGAAGAGACTAAATTTCCATCTGTTTCGTCCCACACATAATTATCTGATTCATGCGTTACAATATTATAGACAGTAAAGTTATGTAGTTGAAGCTTCATTTTGTAATATGCAGCACTCGCGTTTAGTTCAGGCACTAATTTAACTGCCTGCACATCCATACAGAATACTGCACATAGTCCGGATTCAGCATTTTTGATATCGTTTTGTTTTTCTGTTTTTCGCGTTTTTCCGATTTCTTCTCTATGTTTTTCGTATAGCTCATCGGAAACATTATTAGCCTTATGTGATATGCATAAATTGCACTGATCTTTTCTTGGCTTAAAAATAGAATCATTTAATTCCTTATTAATTGCGTAAATATTGGGTACGACAATTTTAGGCGTCCATTTTCTTTTTCGGATTCACGCTCGTTGACATAAAGCTTGTAAATCTCCCGATATGAGGAAAAATCCGATTCGAAGTAAAACTTTTTGCTATCTTTTCGACAATAATGTGACTCCATTTTTGGCAACTCCTCTAGCAATTTTTTTAGAAAGTCACGTCGGTTTTTGTTGCGCTGATCTTTAACTGATGATCGCTTAGCATTTTTGCGCCAAATTAAAGCTTTATCGGGACTGCTAATCCAATATTTTCCTTTACTCCTAGTGTTGAATAAAACATTTCACGACACACTTGTAACCGCTTTGAATTATGACTCAAGAAATATGATATGGACTGATTCCGTCTCGAATTTTCAGAGGTTTTCCTTTTTGTTTCAGAAAAGCTTGTAAGACCTGCAAAATACTACCTCTTTTGCTCCCAGGACATCTCCCAAAACAAACTAAAAATTTCTTTTCGAGTGGACTCACTAAACGTCGAACACTTTCTCACCGCACTTTTTACACAAAATCGTGATGAACATGGCCTAGAAGGTTTTTGACAAAGTTCTTTTTTTAATATACCCAAATATTCCACGCCTTCCATTCTTTTTCTTTTATTTCCATTTTGTTTTCATTCGGATTTGTTAGCAGTATTTTTCCTTTTTGGAACACCATCTGAATCAGAATTTTCTTTTGCACAATTTATGTTATTAAAACTTTCAATCAAAAAACTGTTTCCAACACAAAAACGTTAATTGAACTGACACAAAAAACAAAAACGTACCGACAAACGCAACGTAGCACAGAAAATATGCTTGTGCTAGACAAACTCGGTCAAATCCCGTTTTCTTTTAAAGTAAATACAAAAGCAAAACAATAAGAATAAGAATAAGAATAAGAATAGATACAAAATGTAGTGCGATTTCTGTTGTGGCTTTGATTGTATGTCTATTTTACATTCAACTTTAAATGACTTAGGGCTTTTTTCTTTAAAAAAAAAAACTTGGAAAGAGTTAGGGCTCTTTTTATATGACTATAAATCCTAATTTTTTAAGGCGAGGAGTATTTGGCAGTGGTCTACCAGAATACATTACAAACGCCATTTCGAAAAAAATGTAGATACGCCTTTTCTATATTAAGCCAACGGTATGTATCCTTATGCGTTTGTTTATGTATTTGCTTTGTACTGCCTCAGCATTGGCGAAGATAAACCTGTTAAATATATTTGAACATATTGCTGAGGGAAAAAGTAATTATTGAATATTAGTGGACTTTAAAATAGTGAGAATTACACAGTTTCATATCTTATCTAATATGTTGAATATTCTTAAGTATAATAAAATTCAATATATTGATGCGTACTGAATGACCTTTGGTATCAATGTAGATGTTCATTTTTGAACAAGTTTATACTATATATAAATTTAATTAAATCTGTAATGTTAGAATGTGTTACATATGTTGTAGGAAAGATTGGAGTGAATAAAAATTTTTGGCTGCATTTCTGATGCCATTTATGTTGATGCTATTTATAAGTTTTAAGGGAGATGTAGTTGCTAATTTTGCTTCGTGGCCTGCTAGAGTTTTCCCTTGTATGCCGATATGACTGAGTGTCATTGAGAGTTTAACTTTTCCTATTTATATATTACCGATAAGTATATCTCTGATGTGGTGAGAAAAATTTACGTCGAGGACAGCTTTGGGCACCGATAAGGAGTCATTGAAGATTATATGCTTGTCTCTACTCCTTATTGATATCTGGTAAGCTGTTGCTCCTGCTGTAAAAACTGAGGCGAAAGATAATAGTATAGCAGACATAATTGTTGTATAGTAACAACGCTGAAGGCAACGATTTTATTGTGCTTAGAATCATCAGTGTATAGTGTTTTCCAATTAGTGTAATTGCTTAAAATTTCCAAAGGGTTCTAAATAAGCGTTAAGTGGTGTACTTTCTTTTTTACAATGACGTAAGATTGGTGTGATAACAGGAACATCCATTTCTTTTGCCGCATCTATTAGCTTTTGTAAGGCTGGAACTTTTTTATACTTACCCTTTATTATATTTTTTAGGGCAGCTTTGATAGTGGATCCTTCTGCGAAGGTTTTTAATTATTTTTACAAAATTTTATATTTTTAAATTTTTTGAACTTGAGAAATGCCCAAAATATAAACTAAGTGAGTCTAAGACTTTCATCGGTTGACGGCTTCGTCGAACAATGAATTTAAACCCTTTCGTTAATTTTTAATATATTATAATTAATTAAAATCGTTTACTAATTTTTTGTATAAAATGTTATCTTGCAAAAGTTGTTTAACATCTCAGAATATTTAATTTAATTGTTTATATTTTAAATCGCAAAGGCAAAAATGAAAATTTACCGTATAACTATCAAATCACTCTTATTAGTAAACGAAAATAAAAATCAAGATACAACGATTTTTTTGTCAAGATAAAAAAAAATCAAGTTTTTTACATACTTATGTAGTCTTCAAAAAAAGAAAAATTTCTATTACTACATCACATATACCCGACCCTTCGTAATAACTTTTTTTTGGAAAATATTATGCAATAACTTTTTTTTCTTTCCCTGATTTTAAATGAAGTAATATCGTCGGCGATTGTCTGGCTTTATTTTATCACACATCACTGCATGTATTTCATTAAATGAGTAGGCGCATGACACTAAACAGCACTTTGCATGCCCAATGAAATCAACTCAATTAAGTCCCCATTCCCTCTAAGCTGCTACATAAAGACGAGGTGGGCGTCATTGGGCCACCGGAGGGGGAGATGTATCATGAAATGAAAGGGCAGCAAGACTCACTTGCCCTCTTCCTCCGAAGAAGAAGTCGTGTGCAGAGTTCAATTTAAAAAATATTAAAAGTTCGATGTTTACATCTCAACGTTTATATGAGGGCAAGTTGAATGTCAAATGGAGTGATCTGCTCATCTCTGATACAGACAAAGACGGGATTCATAAAAAAGAAGAAGGAAATTATAAAAAATTTGTAGCTCCCGTTTTTAATTTGATTACACAAAATTATCAAAGCAAGAAAATTGACTTACACTGTCGCCGTCCGTTTCTTTTTTATGAGAATCTTTCTTGAGCATATTAGTACTGATCCATTTTATGTACTGCAGAGTGGATGCAAAATTTAGCGGCGAATTCGACGCGTTTTTTGCTATTATACTGTTTTGATCTACACTGTTTCTTGTTCGAAACTGTTTCTTTTTACCGGAGGACTTAGTTCGAATAACATTTTATTTAAAACAAGAAATTAATTAATGAATGTTTTGTGCGTACAAGAAAGAAAAATTGGACGAAAATAATACAGGTATTTACTACTTCCCGATAAGTTAGGAAATATCCCTTGTAATTCATAAATTTGGCCTTAAATATATTAATAGCGGGTATATAATAAAGAATTGGATAAGGGAATTCCCGCCATGAGTTTTACCTTGAAAATATTAAAAGTGTGTATTCTAAATATTGTTCTAACACAATCCTGGTAATCCCTTGTAAACAAAATATGAGATCAACATACAAATTAACTATGCCACACGCGAGTAGGTGCCAAAAAACGCTTCAAAATGCTTTTCTCGCATTGATCAGCTTTGGCATCGGCTCTGGTCAACGTCCACTTGGCGCTGCCTGTGCGATTTCAGATGAAAATGTACGCGCTCTCGACTCGGCTTTCAGGGTATACTCCTCAGACACACTTAGTTCCGTAACGACGCCACTTCGAAAAAACAAAGCGCAACGATTCAAAGCGAGGCCCTAGGCTGCCGGCAGAGTGGACGCTTAAAGCCGAGCCGAGCGCATTTTCGCATTTACCCAACACGCGAATTTACGCTCAGCTCGGCCTTGAGCTCCCGCTGGCACTCTTACTGCACTGCTGCCGGTGCATTTATACAAATGTATATTTGTGAATATAAGCATATTTACCAATTGGGATGAAAATATGTTTACTTTATACTTTCAGAATTAAAGAGTCTCAGCCTCCACAAAATCAAAAATGCTCGTGTACCTTAGCAGAAGGGAATGGAAAAAATATCACGGAACAAGAAAATATCATTTGCAATGTATCCTCCAAAGCCCCCAAGAAATTCATAGAAGAAGATGTTATGCACAAAACGCTGCTACGCCATTTGAAACATAATACAACAAATTCAAATGGTACTTCAACATGTCCCCGCTCATCGGTTAGTGATATTATTTACGACTATGAGATTAATAGCAATCCCACACCAAATGAATCACAAAGAAACAATAATGTATTAGACACTGAATATAGACCTTCACCAACACAAAACAGTGCTTGCTCATCATTTAAATATACCTTGACTTCGAATAGTATAGAACATCAGAATTCTATTAAACGACAGTTACATAACAAGTTCAAAAAATATTTAGAAGCCTCGCGTAAAATGAAGCCAAGTATTTACATCGTGGACACTTTACATAATCCTGACCCGCGGCAAGGCTTCCAACACGAAAATAATCGTATGGTGGACGTTGAAACTTTTTCTGCTGAGAAAAAAATGCCAAATAATAAACTTTCACATGAAACAGATGTTGAATGCATTGAAAAAATTGTTAATGATGCTAAAATAAATAATATCGAATCATCGGATGCACAGAAACAAGAAATGCCATTACACTCAAAGCAAAAGAAAAAGGATCGCCTTCGAAAATTATTGGCTGTCGCTACACCTTGGCATAAGATAAAAAATCATCGCCAACTTCGAAACCGTAAAATATTGTTGGTAAAAAGAATTAAAACAGCACCTAATAAAATTAAAAAGAGTGCAAAACCCAGTGTTAGTATTGTAAAATCTGAGCATTGCAGTATAATTTCAACATCCAAAAGCAATATATCTAAAACAAAGGGTCCCACATCAGAAAAAGTAAAGAATCAAGGTTATAAAAAAAAATACAAACGTGTTCATAAAGGTAAGCTAACAAATAAAGGCACACAATCTCCACCCGACACGTCTACTGAAAGTCCAGAATTGTATTGCATTTCATCGCCGATCCAAAAAGTCCAAACTACCTCGACTGGACGACGTCGACTTAGATCAAAATCGTTTCCAATGCTTTCATCAGTAGATTTAGCAAACAGCAGGAAAAATAATACCAAAATAAATCCCCCAATATGCAACCTTGATAATGACACCGTTGTTGTTTCATCAACAACCAATAGTTATGACGAGGCGACGTTACTGAAATTAAATAAAATTGATAGTCCTAGTCAAATATCACACGAGCTTAAATCGGATCAAAATGATATGGCCTGTGTTATTCGAACCAAAGATAGTAGTACCCAAAGCGCTTTACCCTTGGGTATTCATTTTCTCAGTACACCCAGTCACCAATTAAATAATCCTGTGAAACCGGTAAATGGTGCAATTGATTATATATATTATGAAATGGATGTGCTCATTATAGTTCAAGAAAGAACCGTTAGCTTTTGGAAGTCTTTTAAACTTATTAACGTTTTAGCCAAATCACAAAATTGCGAAAAATATTCTCATCGAATAAATAATGAAGACATGTATCGACCACCCTATTCTTCAGTTAGGGATGATACCTCACCGCAATGGCTGCCTTTAGGAGAGTGTCGACGCCTTTCTGCCGGTAAGTTTATTATGATTAAATAAAATATAAATCTCGCATTTGGCAAGACTCAAAGATGGCGATAGGGTTCCTGAAATATTTTCCAGGTGTATCAAATCTTAATATGAAAGATGTAAGGAAGTCCTATGTTCGAATATAAATGAACAAAGCTGAGGAAATACTATCGGGCATTAACAAAACATTATATTAAAATGGTTTCTCGAGAATTCAATAATCAATAAAAATTATAACTGCATAGTTCTCGGGATGCTGAAAAATTCATTATGTTTTTAACCATAATCACTCACTGTGAAAAAGTTCTCACTGTGAAAAAGTTCGATAGAAGACATTGATAGGTATCCTGATATTGATATATGGAATTCCTTCTAACAAGTCTGTAGCTTCTTTGTCTACAATATACTGCATCCATATACCAAAAAGGTGCTGTGTAGTATAAGAAAGCATGGCTTATTTCTGTGTACCTTGCCGCACTTTCACTACTTTTGAACATAACTCTTATATGAGGAGTGGACGTCCTGATTGATTAAACGTATTAGAGTTTTTTAAAGTTATCGCCCAATTGTATCTATTTTAGGCGTTAAGAAACACTGTTATGAATAAAACATGGTCTACAATTTTCATTGAGTTGGCCCAAATATTGGCGAATATATCCAGCATAAAGTCACCTATAAGTTCTAAAATCTTTATATTAGGTATATGGGGGCTCAGGAAAGTATTGACCCGATTCAACCCATTTTAGGCAGAATGAAATTATATTGCCAGAAAAGGATTCTGTGCGAATTTCAATTTCATATCTCACACATTGAACGATATTTTCGGTCAAAAGTCAACTACTGGTATCGAGTCCACGTGTTCGGTACCTAGGGGCTTGAACAGTTTTGGTTGGATTTGTGGATTTGTTGGTCAAAATGTGGTTTACTTTAAGGGCCTATATCAGTGTGACATTTTCAAATAATTTTTTTTTTTCTATTTGTTTTCGGTAGTTTATATTTCCATAAATATCCTGTGAAATCGGTAAGGTCGTATCTTGAATAGTTTTGGATGGCAAACTTTAAACGCGTTTTTCTCGAAACGAAATTTTTCGAAATTGCTGGTGTCAAAACTCAAAGAGAAATTAACCGATTGAGTTCAAATTAAAACTGAATATTTTTGATTGGTTGAAAATTGTTAATTTGGCATTAAAAAAACGACCTTTTTTTTTTTTTTTCAAAATTACGCAATTTTGTTAATTCTTGATATTTTTTCAAACATCGTAGGTCATTGTATAAGAAATATCTTTAAGTTCAATAAACTTTTAAAATTTTTTCAACTAATTATTCGACCGGAATCATGCCAGCAGTTGGGGCACTTTTTTTTTTGAGCACCTCAGAAGACAGCCCATAACTCCGTTATTTTACATCATTTTTATAAAAAGAAATTTTAAAATATAGCTGAAAATATACGTTCAAAGAAGTTCGAAATATTCCATCGCGTACTTTCTATTAAAAAAGATCACGAAAATCGCCTAATTTTTCATGCGTCACATTGGTATAACCACTTAAGGGAATTATTGCCGCAAAATTTTATTGCGTTATATTATTTAATTCTTTATTTGTGTACTGGAAAGTGAAATAATCAAATGGATGTTATATGGGAAGTAGGCGGGGTTGTAGTCCGATTTCGTTCATTTTCACAGAGTAAAATAGGAATATGAAAGGAATGTTACGTTCCAAATTGTATTAATAATTGTATAATTTTCACATCGGATAGAGCCCCTTGTACCATCGCTATACGACCCGTATATAATAATTTAGCAGGATATCAGTATTTAATTAACAAAATAAATAAATAAAGCAGTGCTCATTTTATGCAAGTGGCCAATAGGGTGGGTCGATTCGGGATTTCTAATAGTGCGGAAAAGTTGCCTTAGTACTTCCTGATTCCAATGCAACTTTTTGGTTTGAGATCGGATTGCATCTTCAACCCCAACTCCGGCCTTGAAATTTCGGAAATTCGCCTAAAATCGTGAAATTGTCTATCTAGCGCCTGATTTCGCCGAGTGCTATCACTCACATTCATTTCCCTGCGCCATACGACACGTTCGGAAAGGTCTCCACACAAATATTTTTTCATCGAGTTCCTTCACTCTTGTCGGTGATTTCGCCGAGTTCTATCACTTATATGCATTTCCCTGCGCCATACGACACGTTCGGACTGGTCTCCACATAAATATTTTTTCATGGAGTTCCTTCACTCTTGTCGTTGATTTCGCCGAGTGATATCACTTATATTCTCTCAACAGAACACAGAAATCAAAATGTCTGTATCTAAATTTAAATTTAGACAGAAATGTCCTGTKTTTGGCATATATCCGTACAATCTCTCTGAGTCCCAGTKACCTACTTACCAGGATGTTCTTTTGTGTTGTCAGTTTGAAAGATTTCGTATAGGGCGACTCCSAGGCGACAACTATGAACCTAGGAGTAAAGAGGTTACAGAAATAGTTGCAAAAAAGGTTGAAAATACTTTCAAAAAGTCATCTATTCCGATAGTTTCACACACCAGAG